CTTCTACCTGCGATTTTAGAAAAACCGTAAAAGATATCAAAAAGCCTCTTTAATATGTTAAACAGGAAAGTCTTGTGAGTTTGTTAAACTTTGAATGAAGTCTCTGAGTTAAAAGGAACCCAATAGAGTTTTAGGTCAAAAAAGTGATGGGAATTTGCTGAAAATTGACCAATCCCATTCATTTCAATGGGAAAATTTTCGCAGAAAAAGCTTAATAACTCGAAAAAATTTAAAGATATCAATGCCAAAATTAATAGCCGGAAAGATCTTAACGAGCTGAATGTTTTGATATGAAATTGTTGAAATAGCTCAAAATCTGAAGGAGAAGAAGAGGTTCAAAAAGTGTAAGGAAGCAGAATAAGAAGAAAAGAGGAAAACAATAGTTTGAATGCTTAACAGCATTCAAACAATTAGAAACTACACAATAAGAGCACACCAAAGATGTTCCCTACCTTGTTTGCTAAAGTTTCAGCTACTTCCTGTAGCCATCCTCAGAGCTGTGACGACATTGGTGGCATCACTTCTTTCTCTGCCCTCTGCTGCCTGCGCCATCCTCATCAATGACAGTCCCATGCGTGTATAAAGAACCAAGAAATGCAAGTTGAAAGATACACAGAATGAACGTACGGATGAGGAGTAGAAGACTATTTTCACGTTTAGTCTGCATGTTAAACTCAGAGTGGCCGATCATATTTTAAAAAATAAATAAAAAAATTGTTTCTCAGTGAACTTGGTCTTTAAATCCACAAAAAAATCCTGTAGCATTAACGCTAAGATAGAATGACAAAATTTAATAATTTCAAATATTTTGTTGTCATAAATGAAAGGATGCCTTGCAAAAAGTGGGGGGTTTCATATATTTTTAAAACATTTATTTTAGGACAGTAATAAAAAATATGCTAACTTTATATAAACACACATTTAGTTTGACTGTTAGAGTTGTCTGAGATGCTGATGAAAAGTGTCACAAACAGTTTATGAATGTCGATTTCTCTTTTCATTTAAACAAAGGCTAACATATTGTAAACACGTTTCACTTGTTTTTCTTTCCCATGCTGTCACCATTGTTTGCAGCACACGTGCATGACTCTCCAGGTCGTTGCCTCACCCTCTGCCTTCTCCTGTTCTCAGACAGTCCATCATTAGCTGTCTGCTGAACACCTGGAGGCAAAAGCCAGAAAGGTAATTATTGAGGGCAAAGCAGCGTCTGCACGCATCCATCATTAACCCATCGTACCTCATTTGGAGCAGAGAAAAGACCTTGCTGTTGTGAGATGAGAGAAAGCAACAATGTGGGCCGGGGATCAACCCCCCGACACGTCAAATGTGATACAACAACCATCTCTGAGCCTTCGGCTAATAAAGCCAGGAATTTGCTGCAGCTTTTTTTTTCTCCCTTCAGAGGCAGCAGCAGACCTGGAGCTGTGCCAGGCCTGAGGGATGGGGAAGGTTTATTCCTGACATTTAACAGCAACCACGAAGGAATTCACAAGAAGTTAAACTAACAAAGAGAGAGAGACCCAAGTTAGCTTCTTCAGCCACAATCAGAGATTATGACTAAAGTTCCCTCAGAAATCCTTCCTTGTAAATTAAACCCATAACGACTGCAGAAGCATATTTTGTATTTGTGCCTTTTTGCTCATGAGTGCATGGATCTGAAGGATGTGCATGCTTGAGCACAAGTTTGAGTAGTTGTATGCGTGTGTCAGGCCTCTCATCCTGGCATTGTTACATCAGACTCTCTGTGGGCGTCCAGTTCAGGTAAAAAAGCATAGTTGTCCATTCATTTCAAATCCTAATTCTTATTTCCAGTCCTCTCTGACAAGCCTGAGCAGCTTGCACACGTTGGAGAGAACTCAAGCTTGACAGATGGGAGAGATAGAAGATGATGCCATAAGTTACCTCTTGATAAGAAATAAATAAAAATAAAAAGGCCAGGATCTGCGTTTAACTCACAACATTTAGCTCAAATTATAAGTTTTGTGATCATCTCTTGTTTTCTAAATGCACATTTGTGATAGAAACTATTTTCTTTAAATGTTTAAGTTCTAAAGACGCCCCGAGTGGAAAACTGGGGACAATGCAGGTTTTCAGCATTTCCTTTGGTGTGTTTGTGTATTCTAACACAGCAAATTAGGTGACAGATTAAGATTACAAGCAACCAGAACAGCATTCCGATGTGCTTTAGTAATAATTTACTAAAAAAGCAAAGATTTCCTTCAAAAGATGTCACAGAAAAGTCTCAAATAAACAGAAAATCCTGGTATCATGTCTGAGCGGTAAAATCAGCACGATGGGAAAAAAACTTCCCGGGAGGCTAATGCAGCTGAGGCTAACTCGAGGAGCAGATTAGTGTTCAGGGATGCATTTGTTGTGAGGAAATAAATCTAACTCATTTTCCACCATTTATAACCAATGTGGATTAATGACTCATTCAACACAAACGTACTTTAAACACATCAGTCTAACAGCTGGAAAAATCTCTCCACTCAGCCGTGAACCATTAAAGAGCTTGAACTCAGAACAAAACACATTTTAATTATTATTTCTGATGATAATCAGTCACTTTGAGTTTTTCATGCAGCCTGAACATGAAAATAGTCTCCTACACCAACCTCCTGTGTTAGCTTCTGACAGAAAATTGACATTGAAACTCTAGGATTCGAAAAGCCGTAAAGATCTATGTCACACTGTCACTTAACATACATGGAACCACCCATCTTAATACACAACAGGGAAGGTTGTCATTAGTTTTCAGTTCATTTGATTTATTCAGTCAGAAATATAACAAAACATAATATAATCATAAAACTTTACAATAAAAGTGACTGAAAAGGCTCAGGCAGAAGCAAAATGCTCATATTTATGCCTGTACTTTTTATTATATAATAATATAATAATGCCCTTTTTAATATAATAATAGTAAATAATTAAAACAATGAACCTGTCAAACTGAAATACACTCCTCAATTCTGTACCTGGTATAAATATTGTTTTTGTATTTATTTTTAAACAGAATCATAGTAACACATTTCCTTAGTGTCCCCTCCATCCTATTCCAAAGTCTTGGTTTAGTGTCCAGAAGAGAGCTGAGCACGTCTAGGCTAGTAGATGCTAACCGTTAGCATTAGCAACATCACCGCAGCAGCGTTGCAAGTCAGTGGTAGAGTTGCAATGCTGTGTTGTGACTCAATTCTAGTTCCTAGAAATGGTGCACTGGTGTCTTTCCTACTAGAGACCACTGCAAATGTATTGAATAAATGTGTTCCACATTTTTAAGATATTTATCTTTTTAAGTGTTTTTCCTTTTTGTGAATTCAAGTTCTGCCCCAATTTTAGCGAATTTGCAAGACTCAGTAACATCTGAATGATGATAGTTATGTTTTCAGGCTACACTGATGCCATGGCAGGGTCATGAACATCAAGTCATCTGTGATACATATTTAATGTTCCAAGGAAAGAGTCCTTTCTTATACACATAAAGTAAAAAATGAGTCACAGAGAAGGCCTTCAATCCTTGATCTGTGAGAATGTTCCTACGTTTTTGCAAATATCGCAGCAAAATCAATTGTGAAACTTTCGCTGCTTTGTTTTTGTGAAAAGACTTTGTGCAACCTTAAATCTCAACAAAACAAGTTGTCCCAGTGCTCTGCTGCAGGCGTGCAGTACAGTAGCCAGTAGAGCTTGCATGTGCAGACTATTTGCTGAACCTTATCTCTCTCCCCTGCCAGGGAGTCATAATGAATTTATCAATTAGCCCTGACTGCTTTGGGGGCCTTTGGGGGCAGCAGTCCCAGCTCTGAACTGAGCCTCCATCAGTCATTCTGTCAAAAACGTAGGAAGTGCTGAGCCATGTCAGTAACACTGTTGAAAACTGAAAAGCTTTAAAACAATTCAACAATTTTCTTAGGACTAGTTGTTACAGATCCCTTTCAGCACAATAGTTCAGAACTTGGTGGAGTGCGCTTTACCATAGATTTCGTGGTGAAACTGGCGTGACACATCTTCAGTTGTGTGCCCCGACCTCATTGAGTGTTTCGGCCACTTATCACAATACACCCTCTGCCGGGGTTGGCCCACCCCTGGTTGATCAGACCCAGGTGTGTGTCACTCAGAAGCACCACGTCATCATTTGGCAGCCCAACTAGCATCCCTTCGATTCAGCCACAGCCAGTGACTGCTTTGTTCCGCTGCAGTGGCAAGCTCTTTGATTGCCCTCCGTTGGGCCTGGCCTCTGATTCCTACTTCCTTTAAAAGCCTAATTATGGAACTGGCTACAAAACCTCTGCATCCCACTTCCACTGGCCACACCTTCACGTTCCAACCCCTCCCCTTTGCTTCAGCTGCTAGGCTTGCATACCGCAACCGCTTTCGTTCAAATGCTTCGTCAACGGCATCCTCCCAAGGGACTGTCAGCTCGACAATGAAGACGCGCCGGCAGGACCTTGACCAAAGGACAAGGTCTGGGCGCAGGTTGGTTGCAGCAATTTTGGGTGGAAAGGTGAGCCTGTGTTTGAGGTCTACACGCAAATCCCAGTCTCGGGCCCCATCCAATGCACCAGGGTCGGTACTAGATGGCTTTGTCCGCTGCTTCTCCCCTTCCCGCATGAAGAATTTCTGTGGGATGGCAATCTGGCCAATGGTAGGCATAGCGTTGATGGTTACCCTCTTTTCCTCAAGTTTGGCAGCCAAGCACTTCAGTACTTGGTTGTGGCGCCAGGTATATCTCCCTTGAGTTAGGCTGATCTTGCAACCCACCAAGATGTGTTTGAGGTTTGCTGGGCCAGCACACAGGGGACAGGCTGGATCATCTCCATACCACATTTAACTTTGAATTAAAATGTGATGTTGATGACAAGAGTTGGGGTTAGAGTTGGTAAAACATGAGAAACTTGAAATCAGCTGGTAAATCTGAACGAGTAATGAAGTGTCTCCCTCCAGAGGAAAACAGGAATAGTGTTTACTGAGCACAGAGGTCTGTCCAATGTAAGAAAAAATAAACTTTATTAATATTTTACTTGGCTTTACACAGCATCAAAATTTCATACATGGCTTTAAACATAACAATCTTCAATTAAAAAACAGTTAAATTACGTATTGTCTTGTATTACTGGTGTGCTGGAGGATGAATACATGCAGAACGGGAGAAAAATATTAAAAGATAAACATCCCTATGTTGAGAACTCAAAAATTAACTACTTATCAAAGAATGCTGTTCCCTTGTTAGACAATTACATTGATTCAAACCTGCAGTCATCAACATTCAGAGCAAAACTCTGACTGGGCACAGAAGTATGCAGTGCAGGAACAGATTTGTGTGGTAGGTGAAAGGCATGGTGTGGCAAAAGGAAGGAAAAATAATCTGTGATATGTTTTAAATTCAGAGAACATTTTCTAACAACATGGCTTCTTCCAATGCAGTTTTGTTCCTTCAACCCTGTTACTATCAGTGCAGAGAGCATTCAAACCAAAACTCAGAGGAAACACTCAGAAGTGTGTCAGTGCACACGGTTTTGTCTGCTTGGGAGGGGAGCGCGTTGTGGTTTTAACCACTTGAAACTGACAGGCAGCTGGTTGTGGTGCTCAGCCTGCACTTTCTGGGCGGTTTGCGAGGCTTGCTCGGGGTTGATGGAGGGGAGGCCACGCTCAGATTTCTGACCTTGTTGAAACTGTTCCTCAGACTGTCCCTCCTGCTCTCCGAGGTGCTGCTGGTCTCCTTAGAGAGGAACTTGTCGGGGTGGCAGAGGCCGGCCCTCAGGCAGCAGCAGCACAGCAGCTCAGCCATGGCCTTCCGCATGTCGCTGCTGCCGAGGGCGTAGATGATGGGGTTCAGGCCTGAATTGAGGACGGCCAGGGAGATGCAGAAATCAGCGGTAAACAGCAGTGTGCACTGGCGGGAGATGCAGAAAAAATCCACCAGTAGGAGCATGAACAGAGGCCCCCAGCAGAGCATAAACACTCCTACAATGGTGATCACAGTTTTCAGTAAACTCAGGGAGCGTTTGCGACTGCGCTGAGAGCCCAGCTTGGCACTCCGGTGCACGTGGCAGTAGATTGCGCCGTAGAGAACTCCTATCGCTAGAAGGATGAGGAAGAAGATAATAAGGGAGAAAAATATGTAGGTTTTGGAGTACAGAGGGAGGAGGGTGGAGCATTCAGCCAGGCTGCACACACAGTTCCAGCCCAACAGGGGGAGGAAGCCAATCACCAGCGCGAAGGCCCAGCAAAGTGCCACCAAGCCATAAATTCGATAGTACGTCTTTGTGGTTGACTTCTGAGGCAGTGGTTTCATCATGGTGGTGTAACGCTCCACAGCAATCAGCAGCAAACTGAATATGGAGGCCGCCAGGGCCACAAAGAGAAGTCCCTCCCTGAAGAGCCAGAGAGCAGGGGTGAGGCGAAACGTCTGGCTACCTGACATACAGATGTTGGCCAGGTAGGCAGCACCAGTGAGGAGATCACTGAGTGTAATGTTGGCAATGCAGACATAAACCCAGCGGCGGCTGCGGCGAATGCGTGAAACAACCGCCACCAGCACCAGAAGGTTCTCCAGGATGATGAAGATGCTGAAGAATAGAAAAAGGGCCATGGTGATGCCGATGTTGCTCTGGCTGTTTGAGATGGTCCTGTTCTGCAGGCGGCCCGTGTAGTTGTAATGCCTCAGGATCACATGGCTGATCTCTGAGGGTGTATCGGTCTCATTTGATAAAGTGGTGTTGCCGGGGGGACTGTAGTACAAGTGGGGACAGGAGGACGAGGAGGTGAGGGAGGAGAAGACACTCATGGTGGCAGCTGAGCCCCTGAAGATCAAGGCTAGCGGCAGCTGAATCCAGTCGATGACCGAGCTGCACGGAAATTAGTGTGGAAACCCCTACAACCAAACAGGCTGTCGGCACACTCTAACCAGTGTAGCTCAGTGTCCACACACACACCTGAAATCACAAAAAGAAGAAGTAAGTACAATTTCATCTTGAGCGAAAGTGAGATTGAGAAGAAAAAAATTCCCTGGCTTTCAGATCTGAGACGTTTCACTGAGGTTCTTTGATCCATTTAAAAGGCATCACTTAAATACCCGCCGTTGTCATGTGTCTGAGTCTCCACCTAGCTGTGGTTAACGCAGGATGAGTGAGCAAGGGCCATTTAAATCACCACGTGAAGGAAATACGCTTAAGGCTGATATCAGTGATGCAGGAAAATATTTTATTGTTAAAAAGCAAAACAAATGTATCAAATTTCACTTTTTCCTTAATGATGATACACAATATTCACAAAATTTGAATTGTGTTGAATCGGTATTTGATTGTTTTTGAATAAAATTCAAGAAATACTACTTATTTTATTAAGATAAAAACACAAGCAAACAAGAGTTTAATAGATTTTCTAAACTGGAAATCCATTCAGATATGTTTCTTACAAATATTCATCATGCTGATTGAAGTGAAAATGCAGTGGGGAGTACTTACTGTGGCTGCTGGTGGTGATGATGCTGTGAGTGTGCTGACTGCAGATTTCTGCAGCCCATTTTTGTTGGGGAAGGAAGCTGAAGACAGTCACACACCCCACCCAGCACAACTAACAGATGCAACAGACACTATAGACTACTGACTGAACAAAGAATCCTGACATTTAACATAACTTCACACACATCCACTCAAATAGGTCACATTTCAACCACTTATTTCAAACAAACACATGATTTTCAGCTCAAATTGTCAACTTTTCCTAGTTTTTTTTTTGTACAGATACCACAAAACAGCTCTTATGAAAACGTGATAACATTTGTGGGAAATGATCTTTCAAAACACCCAAATTGTAAATCTTTTGTAAATAAACATGACTCAATATTTTAAAGGATGTGTGGCAAGACTCACTTGCACTTACAAGACAAGGACACCAAGTCAAGCCATTATTTCTGAAGCTTCAAATATTGAGTTCTTTTTTTTCTCTCAGTATTTCTCAGAAAGTGTGCAAGAAAAACAGGAACTCCCAATCAGATGGAAAGATGCCCCTCCCTGAAGATAAAGGGGTTTCATACATCTCATTTCACAGCTGTGGTTCCAGTTTTGAGTATGCAGGTTGCGTACGCTCACCCAGCATGGCATGCTTTACTTCAACAGTTGTTGTATAACCATGTACTCAACCACACGTGGTAAAGCAGGTAACGGTCCAGCAAACATAATTCCTGCTAAGAACTGATATGTGAGGCATCCTGCGAGCCCCACAGCATGATGCCAGAACCCTAAATTAAGGAACCTCTTTCCCACATGAGCTAAACCAGAGTCGGCGGCAGGGCACGTTTCCCCTTCTCATTGAAGCAATGATTATATATTACAAATTCCCAAGAAAATAGGCTGTAATTGTGCCGCTGCACTGTAATAATCATTTACCAAATGCTGAAAAAGATGCAAGATGTGACCTTTACCAGCATAAAATAAAATACCAGTGCATTTACAAACAGAAGTCTCTTTTCATAATCCTTTTTCTATATTTAATGTTTTTACATTGTATTTTAATTGTTTTTATATTGTCTTATGGAAGCCGGACCTTTAACCCTCCCTCTGTCCTAATGGGTGTGACCCCGCGAGGAAAGTTGACCATTGAGCAGGGTTGATGGTTTATCCCTTGGGTCCATGTGGAGGGGTGAGGAGAGAGCACCACCTCACCCCTGCCACGTGGACCTCACCCATAAAGACAGTGGGAGGGTAAAGTGACGGTGTGTATTTTCCTTGGCGATAGGGGGCAGTACATACCTAAATCATTGCAAGCAAGCGGTATTTTTGTGTTTGAATAAGACCTTATCAACTGATGGCCATTAGGGTCAAAAATCCCTGGGAGCACAACCTCCAGCAAAATAACACACATCAGACTTCCTTTCCTGACTGGCATCGAAGAGGTATATGTAAAACAACAACGTTTATGATTGGTAAAAGTTTTGTAACCGTTTGTTACAAATCAGTTAACGCATTTTGTCCTCACGGGCAACATCTAATAGTGTATCACACAGAGACTTAGACCCACTCCCATATATTTTAGACTCGATTTTTATGGTTATATGTTACAAAGCCGCCAATATTTTTCAGCAACTGGGTGTCATTTAATTAATTTTCAACAACATGTTGATGAACATTTCCAGAGACTAACAGTAAAAACTGCACATTGTCTCTTTAAGCCTGCAGTAAGGGTTTTCTGCCTATCTGTTTAATCTTTAAAGGGCATGTAAGTGTTACTGTTCAACACAATGCTGTTGCAAAGCTGCATCAGTACAGATAAGACACACGTGACACCAAAGCTCCCCATTCTTCAAGCAGCAATTCACGAGGTTGTCTTGCCATTTTTTGCTTTGGAGTTATGACAGAGGAGTAATCGTGAATCAACGAATCTGCAGAAATTGGTGAAGGGTTTTTAAATCTGTTTTGGTCGCGAAATGAAATGAGGAAACGCGTGTCACTAACATGTAACTCCCCATGACAACTTGAGGTGTAAAAAACACCCAAGACTGTTGAAAACGCCCTTACTCTGAAAATATGAACTCAAGCTCCACTGTAACCACAAGTGTGTGTGTGTGTGTGTGTGTGTGTGTGTGTGTGTGTGTGTGTGTGTTTTTAATTAAACAGCAAAGTGAGACCTATGGGTATTTACTGTGGCAGATTCTGATTTAATTGTTTTCACCCAAGTGAGTCCAGTCATAGTTTTATTGAGTGATGTGCAACAAGAGTCTGAGACACTGGGGACTTGAAACCAGTGGGTGAGAGGAGGAGCGTCCACATACCAGGCCTGTCGTTGGGTTAGCACTTATTAGCAAACTAAACCACCTACCATACAGTGGGATGCAAACGTTTGGGCAGCCTTGTTAATCCTCATAATTTTCCTGTACAAATCGTTGGTTGTTACGATAAAAAATGTCAGTTATATATATCATATAGGAGACACACACAGGAATATTTGAGAAGTCAAACAAAGTTCATAGGATTTACAAAAAGTGTGCAATAATTGTATAACCCTCCCACTGTCCTAATGGGTGTGACCCGACCCTGCGAGAAAAGCTGACCATTGAGCAGGGTTGATGGTTTATTCCTTGCGGGGTCACACCCATTAGGACAGTGGGAGGGTTAAACAAAATTAGGCAGGTGCATAAATGTCGGCAACACAAGAAAGAAATTAACTCAGTATTTAGTAGATCCTCCTTTTGCAGAAATAACAGCCTCTAAATGCTTCCAAAAGCTACTAATGAGAGTCTGGTTTCTGGTTGAAGGTATTTTGGACCATTCTTCTTTACAAAACATCTCTAGTTCATTCAGGTTTGATGGCTTCTGCATGTGGACAGCTCTCTTTAACTTACATCATAGATTTTCAATAATATTCAGGTTTGGGGACTTCTTTCCAGAACGTTCTACTTGTTCCTCTGCATGAATGCCTTAGTAGATCTTGACCAGTGTTTAGGCTTGTTGTCTTGTTGAAAGATCCAGCCCTGGTGCAGCTGCAGCTTTGTCACTGATTCCTGGACATTGGTCTCCAGAATCTGCTGATATTGAGTGGAATCCATGCGATCTCTCAACTTTAACTTAAACAACAAGATCCCGGGTCTATGCATTGGCGCCAAGGGGGACCAAGTGTCTTGCCTAAGGAGACAACAGCAGAATACTCTGTCCGGAGCCGGGATCGAACCTGCAACCTTCCGATTACTGGACAAGCCGCTCAACCTGTTGAACTACTGCTGCCCCAAATGCCCAAGAGCAGACATAGTTTTGCTGCAGGTACTTCACTTTCCTCCCACAGGCCAAAAACATGCATGTTTAGGTTAAATTTTAAGCTGCTTCGGTTAAAAGCATCTGCACAGCACTGCTTTAACTCTGAAGCACTGACTCCAGATGTTTGCAGAAGAAACTCAGTACAAGTGTGGTGCAGCCAGAGGTGTGGACTCGAGTCACATGACTTGGACTCGAGTCAGATTTGAGTCATTATTTTAATGACTTCTGACTTGTCTTGATAAAATCTATAAAGACTTATGACTTGACTCAGACTTGAACGCCAATGACTTGCAACTTGAATCGACTTGCATCTGTTGACTTGATGATGACTTGAGCATATTTGATATTTTAGCACAAAAGTGGCACGACATGGACAACAATCATAAATCTTTCTTCGTTCTGGGTTTGATCTTGTACTGCTAAATGCAGCAGCACTTTGTTTATCAGTTTCAGTTGCACTTCCTGCTTGTTTGAGCAAATAAATTAAGCTTTAAGAAGCTTTTGACAGATGACTTGATTATTACTTGAAAATTCAAAGTTAAGGACTTGGACTTGACTTGGACTTCCATATCCTTGACTTTGGACTCGACTTGGACTTGGTTGTCTTTGACTTGGTCTTGACTCGAGACTTGACCGGAAAGACTTGTAACTTACTTTTGACTTGCAAAGCAGTGACTTGGTCACTCCTCTGGGTGCAGCTCTGAAAAACAAATTCCTTGTTTGCTTGTATCTGTTGTAGTAAAGTATCATAAATGTACACATTAATAATCACTGCTTAATTTACTGTTCATCAAACGGGGTCCAGTTTACATTTGTTCAAGCAGAAGTGAAAGAGGTGGTCTTAGATGGTTTTATTTGACTTCATGATGTCACCTTGATGGGAAATTGCTCCGCAGTTATTACAAAAACACATATTTGTTCTTCACAAAACACAAAACAATTCACAGAATGCTGACAATTAGATTTAAGATGGGTTTATGCATTTCAGAAAACATATTCAGCCCATTATTACTGTTATCATTGACTTTTATGGCTTCAACTAAGATTAACACACTGTAGGTCTGCTGTGTCACACCCACGCCCCATTTGTCCCTGATGGAACACGATGCTGGACTTTAATTTATGGGGATGTCCCTACTTTCTTTCTGCTCGCTCACTTTTAAAAATCCGTGACAGTATTGCCCTCTTTTGGACATGCAGAGTATTACAATTACTACGAGATTCCTCTCACTCTTGAAATTAAATAAAAATAAAATAAAATAAAATCTGTAAACAGACAAGGCTTCTCCAAAATCCCATAACTGCTTAATGTCCAACAGTCTGAATTGTTTTAATTGTTTACTCTGCTTTTTTCCTCAATTTTATTCTCATTTTAAAAATTGTACAAAAATGGCATTTTTAAAAAAGAGTTGCAATTTATTAGCAAAAGTTATCATGTATAATCTTTCATTATTGACACACTAATTTCATATTTTATATTGTTTTTTACATTGTTGTCATTAGAAGTAGCTGTTTTCTTAATGCGGAAGTGAAAAAAAAGGCAAATAAAAAAATTACAGCCCTTTGTTCCGTCCTGTTGTATCACCGCTGCCACCCTGTAGATGGCGCTGCTCGTCAACAAACATCCCACAGCAACAGGGCGCCTTCATTGTACGGAATCCGCTGCCTTTTTTCTCAACTTTTTTTCACCGCTCCGCAGCCGCTGCTGCTGCTGTTATTAAGACAAGGAGAAAGGAAGTAGCGACCGGCTAGCTGGTTAGCCCGTCTGAAATCATTCCGCCTGTGAACAAAGAGTGGAATTTTTAAAGACATTTTTGGGTTTCTTCTTCGTTGAAACAACCCTTCGTCATTTTTTATCTACACGTTGAAAGAAGGATGCGGTTTTTCTTCTTCCTCGGTGTTGTTGCAGTGTCTCTCCACCCCGGTTTTGAACCCTCAAATGATTGAGTCAACACACTGACTGAGCTTTGTCTGTGTCTGCATACCCACTGCTCTTATTCTGCTTGATACACGTCGTTTTTCGTTTCTGTCAAGAGGAGAAAACAAGAAAACGGCTGAAAGGCTCGCGCCCTGGTTGTTGTACATTACATTTTTAAAATGGGGAATGCTGCTGAGGAGTAAGACAATGAGACTAACTGCCGAGAAAGGTACGTGATGTTGATACTTTCTGTAAGATTTCTCGTATTTTTACGAATTTGTTCTTTTGAGTACAAAACTGTAGATCGAGAACTACGTAAAAGACTTGTTAAAGGAAGTTATTTAGCGTAACCCTTAACGTGCTTGGCTGTCAGAGTCAGCGGACGACTATTAGACACTTAACCAAGTGAGTAACTGTCTGGTTGGTGTTTAACAACACGATCCTCTGTTTTTGTCAGTGACACATTATAGAATGTAGCCTGACTTGCTGCAGTCCAATGCCCCCAGCCCTGGGACATATTGAGACACATGATAGCGGGCAGTTGTTTTGTTTGAATAAGCCCAATTCATTGATTTCAAGTGAAGGGCCCTCGGTTTTATGGCTCTAGCTCACTTTGATGAAGATCCCAGCCTGAATTACCCAGAAGAGAGTCAATTACAGGAGGGCTGGGCGATATGGCCTCAAATCTATATTGCGATATAATCTGAAGCATGTGCAATTACGATACATACCGCGATATATTTTTTTCCTTTGTTTATATATGTCAAAATGACATGCTTTAAAAAATCCTCATATGGAAAATATATTGCAGCAGAATAAAGACGTCCAAAAAGTGTAGAATGCTCCTCCTCCTCCCGCTGCATGCTTGCAGTCACTGCCATTCGGTTGTTCCAATGTCGGCGCTGGTGCACATCTTAGTGACATCATGTGTTATCACAGTAGAGCCAAAACCACAATTTTATATTGTTTCTACCTTCTAGCGTTTATATTGCACACCCCTAAATTACAGTTTAACAAAATTACCACCTGATAATAACTGATGTATTTTATTCTAGTAGCTGCGGGTGCCAGGGATGGCTGAAGATATGAAAACAGCAATAATGAAGATTTGAATTGTAGATGTATGTTTACTCACTATGTGTTGCAGCTAGCCTGTGTGTTTAAATGTGTCTGACCAGGTGAGTAATATCAGCATGAGAGCATCTAACAACTAGACGTCTGTAATTGAAACGTGTCAACTCACATTAATGAGACATGGCTATGGATGAGATCATTATCATGGTGTTTCATTTTTACTAATAAAATACAGTAGAACAAGCACTTTCTGTTACAAAAGCAGTCATTTTCTAGTGATCAGACTTTCAAGGGTAGATGTAAACATAGAGTCAGAACAGAGAGTTGAGAAATTATAAATACAATGAAATTAGCATAAAAAATCTAATCAAAATGTTGTTTTTAGGCTATGCGGCGGAATACTAAAGTGGATATTTGCATTTCTGCCCATGATTATCTAGCTCCTGGCAGCTATGCATTTGTCCCAACCAAGCATTAGCATATTCTATTGTTTTGTTTTTAACCATACCTCCTTAAAGTGCTTCAAAACACTCAGGCGGCCCACAGAAAGGCTCACTGCCATTTCCTCTGAAAGAAAAGGGCCATATGGCCCCCTGCTAATGGTCTGTGCTCCACAAGCCTCACTAGGATCTGACAGTGTTGGAGGATAAGATGAAGGGGGAGGGGAAGGAACACCGGTTGCCCTTCAGCTCAGCTCAGAGTTTAACTGTCCACTCATAGTAATTGTGTGAAAATGTGTAGACGGGTCTCAACTCCAGTCTCAGCAGTTAGTATCTTGGTAAAACTCAGCTAACATATTCGGCGATCTCACATTTACTTGCTTCATCTAGATTCCATCCGGTGTTTTATTGGTGCGCAAAGTCATTTGTTGTATCCATTAAAATCATATTTGCTTTATTCTAATGTTCTTAATGAAGTTGGTTTATTGGCTTGTTTGGATCCCAAGTCTGCACCACATTACAGAAACGTTGTTGTTTCCTAATACAACTCAAATCAACCCAACAGCTTGAACCTGCAGTTCATGAAGATGACACAGATGTGACACAAGGTTACTGTGAGCTGCTAATTTTTTTAATTTGCAATGTAAGGTATGTCTAAGATGTTTTTTTACTTTGTTGGTAGCAAAAGAAACATTGAAGTTGCAGCAGATCTGTCAACACTTCTGTTTGCATCTCTTATCTGTAGCGTTTTCAGGGTCAAATGTGCCGGGGGGAGGGTTAACATTACTGAGTAACTTTAGTTTCCCACAGTCGCTTTTTGAGACATGAGGACTTTGGTGAAGATCAGTGGAATGTGGTGGCGTGTGCATTAATTTAATGAATCCGATTATATTTCAAATTTGCAGAAAATGTGAGTTTGGGTGACCTTTTATAGAAAGACAAAACAAGGTTGCAAAAATGCACAAGCCTGCTGGCTGTGACCTTGTTTCTATGAATCCAGTGTTAGGCTATTCTTGTATTTATGTGTTCCCCTTTTTATGTTTTGCGTCAGGATTTGACAATTTTAGGTCTTTGGTAGAACAAGGACAAGAGGTAGAGGCTGAGCTGAGGCAGCACAGCCATTTGTAATGAGTCCCTCAGCAGCATGCGTCGTCTCTGTGCAGCTGGTCCACTCGCCTATGAAGGCTACCTGAGGAATGACGCAGACATCTGCAGTCCTTTGGTGGCCTCATTAGGATACACTATCCAGCTATAGATCCGCCATCTTTAAGACTAGAGGTCGACCGATATTGGATGTTTTATTGCAGACGCTGACATGTAGAGGTCATGGTCAGCTGACGGCCAATACGATTTTTATGGCCGATGCAATTTCCATCTTATCTGCATGCTAAAATGTCACTAGTTACATCAGCTGATGCACAATATATCTGAAGTGGATCATTTTTGAACACTGAATTTAACTCAAACTTAATTTTGTGCACTGCTCAGTATTAAAATCAGACATCTAATTAAAGTTAATCAAAATGTTTTAAATATTGAATCTTAATTACTAGTTTAAAATATTTAAAACTGGTAAATAAAATAGAGAATTTTTTTAAAGATTATTTATTATGTAGATGTTGTTCATCAAATATAAATAATTCTACAGCAGCACCGGGCTGCCCGGGGATATGCCTGACTTTAAATTGGCTTTACTAAGGAGGTATATTGGCCCGATACATCGATCAACTCCTACTTAAGTCCACTGATATTACTTTTGTCCTCGATTACTGATACAGTTCTGTAAATGGTGAATAGATTCGTGTCTGGAAAGGCACTATCTTTCGTCCTCTTTTCACATTTTTGATTGTTGCTATTGCAGTTTAATTTCAAACTAAATGGATCCATATGAATGCACACAACTAATCTACTAAATTTGATTCAGTACAGCTAAGGGATACTTATCTCAGTAAAATGTCAGCTTTGTTTTGAAAGAATGCATAAACAAGGTGCCCTAACAGCTCACGGAAAAGGGTTTGGCAAGAATAGATTGACTTGTTCAGGCTTGTGATCCTATTTACGCATGCACACATCATAAAAAACATCTTAGCTATTATTTTACTCACTCTGCTGATGTGGAAATCTAAAACTTGTTGGGTTAGTTCTCCTTTCTGTAAAAGCCTTGGATTGAAGGGCTGGTATTATAACTTCCATTTAGGTTGAATTACCTGCTACTCAGCTTCATCTTCACATCTTCTCTGGAAACATTACCAGCTCATTTGAATTAGCTGTTATTCCAAAAGATTTGTTTCTTTTCTTCACTGTAATTCACTTGAGCAGGTTTGAGAGTCGTGCACTGTAAGAGGGGGAGCAACTGGAAAAAGGAGGTCAGAAAGGAGAAATGGGACACCAGTATGCTGCATACGTGTGTTCACTGTTATATTCATAAAGTATGTCAGTGCTTATTTTAGTGCTGTCACACAATGGCTCCAGGTATTACCTTTTTATGGCAAAAAACTCAGAAAGGCTTGTGTTCTGTTGAATTTACTGAGAAAACTTTGCTTGAAGCGGTCTGTGTTTTGTAGGAACTTTAAAGCAAACTTATAAAATGTATTGTAATCTGTGTACGTAGTCAAAGAGAGGCAAAAAAAGAGGGGAAGTGATGCTGTTTCAATTCCACAAACTCATTTTTAACTTTGTCCTAAAATGCTTTTTCATTGTGCTTGGTTGAATTCATGGAGTGGATAAATAAACCCAGATGTAATGAAAGGGTAAAAGTAGCAGCTATGATTTTGTTTTGTGCCTCCTCTTACACAGCTATCATCATATCAAAGCAAATCAAGTTGATTTGGGAGCAAAGCATGGTTATGGCTTTATCACAGCTGTGTGTTTACCGTCTGAGTTTAAAATCCAAGCACTTTTTTGCATTTCCATTACTTGGTCTTTGTTTCATGTCTTTTAACTTTTTGTTTGGTTATGGTGAAAGGCTTCTTACATTCTGTTCCATGTTGCCTTGCTTCACTTTTCCAAGAAGAGCCTGTCGGTCAGAAGAGAGCATCAACCACACAATAACTCCAGAACAGTACAACTGTGAGGGCACACAAAAGGCGCTTCCACAATAGATTGAAGTATAACGCATGGTTTTAATTTCAAATCCTGATCCCTTTGAATCCAAAACACATGCAGTGTTCTGTTAAACGAATCAAATTTATAAAGAAGGACCATCATCCTCCCTTCCTGGTTGAGGATGGGACTGTGTTGCTAGTGGGTACTGACTATACTGTTGTCCTCCTCTGATCCCATCCCCTGACTCCGGGTAATGGACATAGAGAGGAGAGGGCACTCCCTCAGGCTTTGTTTGCTGTTGCTCTGCTGCACCATAGTGAAAATGTAATTATGAGCATGAGGTACTGCCACATCCCATTTTTGTGTTCATCTTACTAGTTATCTATTTAGTTCACCACCTGTTTCTGCTTAGATGATAACCTTCAGAATAACTTTTCACTAATGTTTCTAATAGTTCTTTACAGGTTTCCGCGCCGTAAAAAATGTGTTTCAAGTTGTTTACACTTTTGCCTGAATTAAGAGACATTAGAACTATTAAGTTACTGATTTTGCAATGAGGTGAGGAAAACATTAAACTTGACACAGCAGTGGTGGCAGATTTTTCCATTATAAATGGGCCACGGCAAAAACAGTCTTATGTTACCGTTGGCTTAGTGGTAGCACAAACCGG